TTTCACGTGTGTAACAGTTACGAGTTTATTGCGTAACGGTCGACATTATGGTGAACGTTACAAAATTGATTGCTGGATTTTATAACGGCTCTCTAAAACCCTATATAAGCAGCCTTTCTCATTCTTAAAAACACACAAAAAAAATCTCTTCTTTCTCTTCTCTCCTCTACTTTCAAAAGCGATTTTCGTCCATATTTTGGTTTTATTTTCGGGCAACCTTCTTAATCTGAGCAAAATCTTTGTACTCTCACCCGAGTTTAGAAGCCGGCCGATTCTGGGGGGTTTTACCGCTAGAGGGGAGAAGATTATCTGCGTTAGGGCTATAGGCGGGTCCTTAATCTTCTAAGACAGTGTTTACACGACTGCTCCCTATCAGATCAGGCTTTCTGATCTCTTTTTTCATTCGGATTTATTTGTTAATTTTCATGCTATAACTTAATAATATTTAATTTATATCTAACAATCTAGAAGATTAATAGTTTATAGCTTTTGTTTTTAAATCAGGAAAAAAGTTATTGTTCACTAAAAAAAGCATTTAAAAAATTATTTTACTGTTTGTTCAAAATAACTTTAAATCTGTACTTAATTGCTTTAATTATTATTAATTAATGCATTTATTACATTTATTTAATTACAATTAATTAAGTTGTAATTAATTACTGCTAATTAATTTTAATAGTTAATTACAATTAATTGTATCTTGTAATTGATTGTATTAATAATTAGTTGTTGTTTAAAAAAATATTACTTTTGATGGAAAAAGGAAAATTTCTATCTTATTCCACTTCACATGAGAAGTACCTATTTGCTTACCATAAAATGGTTGAATAGTTAATAACTCATTCTTAATTTGGTAAATGTTGTTTGCATTATTATTGTGCTAGCCATGTTCTCATGACTATACAGCTTTTGTTTGTGAAACCTTGAAATATTTATATTATAACGATATTATATATGCACAAACTTTTCTAATTATTTGTTGATCAGAAAAACATGGTTTTTGGTTTGGAAATAAATTGTTTTTCAAAATATTATAGTCTCAGCTATGAACTAGAACTTTCATGGTTTTATGCACCTGTTACTAATATTTTGTATAATTAACTTTCCTTTTGATTTTAAGTACCTAAGTTCTCAAATAGCAAAGCATCCTCACCAAGCTAGTGGATCAAAGTAGCTATTACATTATTGATACAATTTTTCAAAGAAGAACTTTGTTCACATCTTGTTTATAAAAAAAATTTAAAATTTTAATTGTTCTCAATAAATTTACATGTTTAATAGCCAAGAATATTTATCATATTTCCATGAAATTAGATCATGAATCACATATTTGGATACTTGATTTGAGTATCAACTAAGTAGCAAAGAAAAATGACCAATTTCTGCAGTGTGATATGCTTACTCTTTATACTGATCTGTGTTATCAGGGCCCTATGTTGGTAAGTTTATGATGTGTCATATGCTTTGTAATTCATTCTATATTGATCTGTTATAGCATTATTGAATATGATTGTAGAAATTGACCCCACTATCATTTGAACACTAAAGGTTCTATTAGCACTATTGGGCTTTAGTTCTTTAAATTGTGTTCCCAAAGGAATCCGGAAGTTATGGCTTATCAAGATGTCTGAAATTGAAGCATATGAATAACATTAGACATGTATGTTCATTATCTTAAAATACCTATCCTACCAGTAAAATATTAAAAGAAAAAATTTGAAATTGGAAGTGTTCCCTTGGAAACAGAGGTTACACATTAAATATTTTCTAGTAATGATATTTGCTTATAGTTAATGCTTTCATTTCTTTAAGATATCAATATGGTGCCTTCTTTTATTAATAATTCTATACATTGGATTGTTTATGCATCTAACAAGCTTAGACAAAAGGTGGCAAAAGTGAATGCAGATTTGTTCAGAAACCTATGTGACAGTTGTCTGCAGCAGGTATATTTATTAATGTTATTTTCTTATGTGGGCATCATTGAAAATTGAAATTAGTCCATCAAATAATTAAAATTGCTATTAAGCTCCATTATCCTTATAAGTTGTTTTAAATTAATCTCTCTTCTTGCTACTTGTACTCTTGCCTGGAGAGACTAGTTTCTAAATAACTTAACAACTAGGGGACCTAATGGCAATTTCAATAATATGAAGGGCTAATTTTAAAATAACTTAAGAACTAGAGGGCTTGATAAATCTGTACAACGCCTGCTAGGAAAAGTTATGATCTTAGACTTTGTAAAGTCTGAGAAGAATCGTGCTGACCCTTTGACTAAGGGTTTATCCAGGAGTGTGGTTTTGGATTCACCGAGGGAGATGATGTTAAACCCATAAGTGAGGTCACTGACAGTGGTAACCCAACCTTTATTTGGAGACTTAGTCCCAGTGTAGGTTCAATATGGTAGAAACAAGCTGGACTAGTAACACTCGTGTAGAGCATCGACCTAGATATATTTATATATCATTATGGTAGCATCTGCTACTTCCCCTTCTCTATGGTGATGATGCTCTTATGATACAGCTGGTTAAGCTTAGTTTTACTCTTAATAAGTCCAACGTGTGTATTGCAGAGGGTATGCTATTCAATTATAGTACCATTGGAGGACTTACCTACGTGAGAGGAACCGTGATGGCTGTGGTTAGGGGGGTTAGGCTAATCCCTAGAAACTCTCATGAGTCGATTAATTGTGAGCATGGCCTTTAACGCTCAACCTGCTTTACTCAATAGATGAAGATGTATTATGTGTGTTTTCGTCAATACCTGGTTAAAGGGGTCTAATTCAAGGCCTAGTCCATTATGTCCCTCAGGTGGCGATGAACTCACTAAGAAAATATTCAAAGTCGAAAGCTACCTCTCCCGAATTCACGATACGAAAGGTTGCCCAACCTATATTTGTTTTGTGATTTATTGATTTATTTATTGATTTTTATATTTTCAGTCAAATATTGCTTTTTTTGGGGGGGTGGGGGTGGGGAGGGACTGTTGGCTATGTTATTAAGAAAAGATAATTTTACCTTTGTGAATAGTCCCACATTGAAAAAAGAAATGAATAGTTAGTGGTTTATAATGGTTCTCCTCTTATTAGGATTTGAATAGTTTTTTTGGGTTTTGTATTATTTGGGCTTTGCATAACACACGCGCGCGTGCGCGCGCCATGCCTCGCCACGCTGCACGCACATGTTTTTTTCTCTGGCTTTATTTTGCACGTTTTTCACGTGTGTAACGACTACAGGTATATTACATAATGGTCAGCATTATGGCAAACATTACAGAATTGATTGCTGAATTTTGTAACGGCTCTCTAAAACCCCTATATAAGCATCCCTTCTCATTCTCGAAAACACACAAAAAATCTCTTCTTTCTCTTCTCTCCTCTGCTTTCAAAAGCGATTTTCATCCATATTTTGGTTTTATTTTCGAGCAACCTTCTTCATCTGAGAAGAAGCTCTGTACTCTCGCCCGAGTTTAGAGGCTGACTGATTTCGGGGGGGTTTTACCGCTAAGGGAGAGAGGACCATCTGTGTCAGGGCGATAGACCAGTCCTTAATCTTCTAGGACAGTGTTTACATGACTGCTCCCGATCATGCTAGACTTTCTAACCCCTTTTACATTCAGATTTATTTGTTAATTTGCATGTTATAACTTAATAATATTTGATTTATATCTAACACATTAGACAAGGCAGAAGTTCACAATTTGATCGATGGACAGTATCCAAAAAAAAGCTCCGCCATTGTTCTTTTTGTCTATCCAAACACAAATAGTTATACATCATCTCTTTACTTTCTATCCTCTCTCATATAGCTCAACAATTCACCTCCCCTACCAATCTCCATATCTAAACCCACAGAAAGGATTTGTTAGAATTAGTATTTGGGTTATTAGGTTAGGGCCCATTAACCAATTAGCCTATTACCCATATGTACTCTTATATAAACCCATGTGGATGAATGAAAAGTGTAGACTCTCTTATTTCTCACTTTTAACATGGTATCAGAGCATGTACCCTCCAAACCCTAACCCTTGATTCAAAAAAAAAATTGTACCGACCTTCTCTGCTCGTCGCCATCGGACTTCGCCGACTTCCGCCATCGTCGTCGAAGGCTCGAAGGCTCTGCCTGCCAGCGGTCCTCTGCTAGATCTTCTCATCGTCGCCACCCTCATACTTCACCGCCGATGCCCACCATCATCATTTGCTTTGTCGAGAGCATCCTCAGAACTTCCTCTTATTTGCTAGATCTGAATGAAGAAGACGAAGCAAGAGAGAAGGCGAGGAGATCTTCATCGGTTCCTCTAGATCTGACGAGATCTAAGTCAGATCTGATGCCTCTTCCTCAGATCTGCTGAGTTCCAGCTACCTCCAGCAGCAACACTCCCAGATCAAAGTCTTTGTCGCCTCCACTTCGTTCGTGCTCTTTTGTCACTGCTTGCTTTGATCTTGGAGTTCGCCGCTGTCTGTTTGGCCTCTTGTGATTTTCTTTTTTTTAATTGTTGCTATTTTAGTTTGTTTTGGTTTGGGCTCCCTTTTTGGGCCTAGTTGATGGATTTTGTAATAAGTGGAGTGTTGTATTCTTGTTGAGGGTGTAAGAGGTACAGATCTAAAAATACAGAATAATGATATATATATATATATATATATATATTATGATATAATATATATATAGCTCATATAGTATAATATATCATACTAGTAGTATCACTAGTGATAATATCTAAAAAGCAAATCTTGGATGAAATCTCTAACCTTCGGGTTCCTACACACTAACCTTCGAGTTTTCTATTCTAACCTTCGGATTTCTGTTTTAAACCTTTGGGTTTTATTCTAACCTTTGGGTTTCTGTTTTAAACATTCGGGTTTTATGCAATGAGGTTGTGATTTTTCTGCTACTGTACCATCCTGATCTGTAACAATGACATGATCTGACATCTCTTCTGCTGCTATTACTACTACCCCTACCACTACTGAGATCTCTGCCCCCAAAGTTGTATTGGGGACCATGGTGAAGTTAAATGGCACCAACTATCTACTTTGGTCACAAGCCTTCCACATCTTCATTGGTGCTCAGAACAAATTGGATCATCTTCTGGCCCCACCTCCTGCATCTACAGATCCTACGTATCCCGCATGGATCTCTGCTAACTGTTGCGTGATGACTTGGCTCCTTAACAGCATGGAAGCCCAGATCAGTAGCAATGTCATATTCTCAAACACTGCTAAGGAGATGTGGGATAATTTAAAAATTATGTACGGGAATGAGAAAAATACATTCCGTGTGTTCGAGTTGTATGAACACCTTTTTTCTCTTCAACAGGGCGATCGCTCTGTACCTGAGTACTTTGGTAAACTGAAAAGTCTGATCGATGAGTTAGAGATACATCAGCCTGCGGTTACGGATGCACCAACACTATTGGGATATCGTAGGGACCTTGTAGTGTATAAGTTCTTATCGGGTCTGAGTCTTACTTTACAGTCTCAAGTGCGAGGCCAGATACTAGGAAGAGATACTATTCCTTCTTTGACTGCTACTTTCTCAATAGTTATGCAGGTAACTACTGGAGATACTGCTGCCTCACTGTCTACTCCATCTCTTGACTTGTCTGCTATGTTCTCCGGACATGGCAGAGGTCGAGGTCATGGTCGTGGATGTGGCCGCGACATAGGGGGAGGACGACGCTTTTTTGGTGGAAGACAAATTAACTCGGATAGGAATCTACGTCAATGCCACCATTGTGGAAGAACTAACCATATATCTAAGAAGTGCTAAAAAAAATTTGGTCATCCTGCACGGGCCCAGATAGCTGATACTACCTCTGCTGCTTCTCCTACTACTACTACTTCAGCTTCCTCCACAGTTTAATTTTCTCAGGCTGAGTTTGACCGGTTGTGTCTACTCGATCTCTCTCAGAATAGTTATACTGCTACTCATGCATCCTCTTCAGGTATAGATGCCTACATTACCTCTCCTCACAGACCACGTGTATTAGATTCTGGCGCCTCTTCTCATATGACAGGTATAAATGGCCACTTTGTTTCCTTAAACCTTTCTGACAAGTTTCCATCGATACGTATCGCTGATGGGACATAACCTCTAGTTCTTGGTGATAGAGTAGTCCATGCTACTTCCTCGCTGACTCTTACTGATGTTTTATATCTTCCCAAGTTTCCTGTTAGTTTACATGTTCATCAGTCAGTTTACAAAACACAACAACTGTAAAGTCATATTTTTTCCTTCTCATTATGTTTTTTAGGACCTAACAACTAGGATGAAGATTGGTTCGGGGCATGAGCGAGGAGGCATGTACTATTTGGATGACGATACGCCCACTACTAGTCTTGTTGCAGAAAAGTCTCATCATTCTTTACTATAACATCAACGCCTTGGTCATCCATCGTTATCAAAACTTCGATCAGTCATTTCTACGTCTATCTCTTTTTTAGGTTGTGAGTTTTGTGAACTGAGAAAGCACTAGCGCTACCTATCAGAGTTGTGTTGACAAATGCAGCAGTTCTGCATTTGAATTAGTCCATTCTGATATTTGGGATCCTTGTCGTATACCTTCTATGAGAGGTTATAAATATTTCATTATCTTTGTTGATAGCTTCTCTCACATGACTTGGCTTTATCTTTTGAAAGAGCGATCTGAGGTTTCATCTGTTTTCAAAATATTTTATAATGAAATCAAAAATCAATTTTCCATCTCTATTCGTATTCTTAGTACCAATAATGCATTGGAATACATAAAAAATGATATCTCTCATTTTTGTGCAAATATGGGTATTCTCCATCAAACTTCATGATCTTACACTTCACAACAAAATGGAGTTGCTGAGAGGAAGCATAGACATTTTTTAGATGTTGCTCGAACCTTGATGATATATATGAATGTTCCAAAGTATTTACGATCTGATGTTATTCTTAGTGCATGTTTCCTGATCAATATGATGCCATCTTTTGTTCTTAATGATAAAATACCATTCACCTGCCTTTATCCTGATAAACAGACATTTTCTATGATTCCTCGTGTTTTTGGATGTACCTGTTTTGTTCAAGATTTGTCTCCAAGACTAGATAAATTGTCTCCCCGATCTATTAAGTGTGTCTTTGTAGGATACTCGCGCTCTCAAAAAGGTTATCGATGTTATAATCTATCCACCAGGAGGTATTTTGTGTCCGCAGATGTGACTTTTTTTGAGTTAGTTCCATACTTCTCTTCAGATGATTCATCTCCAATTGTCAATCCATCTGTTCCTTTTCCCTCTAGTGGTTCTATTACTGTTCCATTGTCTGCTTCCGTTCCTTCTGCTGATGGATCTTCTCCAGGATTACGTGGTGCCTCTACTGTGCCACCTGCACCACCGCCACTACTGATGTATTATCGCCGTCCAAAGGTTCCTATCCCTCTCTCTGCTCCAGCCAAAAATCATCTCCCGTTGTAGGTCTGCCTCCTTCTAATCCCTCTGAACTTGGTATTCCAATTGCTCATCAGAAAGGTCAACGGTCTTGTACTAATCATCCTATATCTGATTTTGTTTCCTATAACCGTCTTACTCCCTCTTCTCGTCAGTTTGCTTTGTCCTTGTCCTCTATATCTCTACCCAAGTCATATGAGGAGGCCATGTTAGTTCCTGCTTGGAAACAAGCCATGGATAAGGAGATGGATGCACTTATTTCTAGAGGGACATGGGATCTTGTATATTTTCCTACGGGTGCTATAGTGGTTGGCTGTCGGTGGGTTCATACCTCGAAATATCACGCAGATGGTTCAGTTGATCGCTATAAAGCTCGTCTTGTTGCTAAGGGTTATACTCAAATCTATGGGGTCAACTATCTTGAGACATTCTCTCCCGTTGCCTGTCTCAATTCTATTCGCCTACTTTTCTCTAAGGCCGCTATTCTGGACTGTACCATGTTTCAGTTGGATGTTAAAAATGTCTTCATGTACGGTGACTTGCATGAGGAAGTCTATATGGAGCAACCTCTGGGGTATGTTGCTCAGGGGGAGAATAATGTCTGTATGCTTAAAAAGGCGATATATGGTCTCAAACAGAGTCCACAGACATGGTTTGAGAAATTTAGTACTGCTATATCTGATGTCGGTTTTAAAAGATGTCAGTCTGATCACTCAGTCTTCATCCGACGTACTAAATCTGGTTTGGATATATATATAGAGAGAGAGAGAGAGAGATGGATATGCTTGGTACCAAGCACAAAAAGTAGTGCTTGGTAGTGAGATGACATAATCCCCTCCACTCATTCAATCGTATGAATTTTATATGGATAAAACTAATCTTAGCTTTTATTGACTTTGTATTGGGCTTCCACTTATTATAATCTTATAATATTTTTTTTTTGAAAAGCCCTCCTAAACACATACATGCATCCATAAAAATATGTACATACAAACATAAAATTCATACGTGCATACATAAATCATATCCCTTCAAATCAAACACATATATACACACACAAACTATACATCTTTAGATTCTTCTCATAGCCTCCGATCTTATTAAATCACATCACATTATTAAAGACTTATTAAGATTATAATACAACTATTATTTACTAGAGTTAGATATATTTTATAAATTATAGTAAGACAATTATAGGCTATATATAGTATAGTTAGATATATCTATATTTATTTTATACTAAACTTTAGCTATTAATAAACTACTATTAATTAAATTATAATTGTTAGTGCATTGAATTACTATTGAATAATTCTATTATTTTATTTAACCCATGAACTGAGGAGACCAAGAAATTCCATTCAAGGAATTCATATGCATTATAAAGTAAATTTATTATAATCTATCTAGCTATCTACACTATATTATATTGTATATACCCTAAGATAACTTCTTAATCTCACTTAAAGAAAGACTACTATTTTTGCCCACGGTGCATGTCAACATCCGTTGAGCTTTGTTTGGTTGCACATTTTTTGAGAAAACTTTTCTCAAAATATCTGACAATGACAATTTTGTAATTAAAAGTTTTCTATAGATTTTTGTAAATTGTGTTTGGTTCAACAAAAAATTTAGAGAAATATTTTCTATAAAATATCAAAAACTATCAAATTTTACAAAAAGCAATTTCCTCTCAAAATGAGAGGAAATCAACATGAAATCTGACACCTTCCTTATTTAATCAACAAAACCCGTCTCATACCCATTTTCTATAAAGTTATGAGCCATTTTCTTGTTTTGAACCAACCAAGAAAAGTATAAAAAATAAGAAAATTGTTACTTTTTGACTTCTCAAAATTTTTCCTATAATTTTTTTAAGAAATACAAGCAAATCATATTTTGGATGGAAAACATTTCCTATAATTTATAGAAATTGAACCAAACACCCCCTTAGACTACAAGTAGTAATTGAAATAAATTCCTTAAATATCAATGCAATTAATAGAGGGAAAAAATCGCCTAACATAGAATGCTAATCAATAAACCACTAGTAGAAAAACTAGCAACCTAGACGGAACAACCTAGACGGAATATTTTTCCGTCTAGTTTGATTGCAAAAACTAGACGAATGAATTCCGTCTAGTTTGTTCCGTCTAAGTTGACACAAACTAGACGGAATGTTCCGTCTAGTTTGTTAATCTAGACGGACAGATCAACCTAGACGGAATTTCCGTCTAGGTTTACTCAACCTAGACGGAAATTTCCGTCTAGGTTGATAGGTCAACCTAGACGGAATTTCTGTCTAGGTTGATCTGTCAACCTAGACGGAAATTCCGTCTAGGTTGAGGCAACCTAGACGAAATTCCGTCTAGGTTGCTAGGGCAAATTAAACCCCTCTTCAGCCGCCGCCAGCCCCCCCCCCCCCCCAAATTATAATTTCATTTTCCCCCCACTTCCCCGCCCAACGTTCCCCCTCACGAGCCACTTTGCGAC